GGGGGGGTTGAACACAATTTTAATGATTTTTTTACCACTAATTGGTTTTGAATTTTCTTTATCTTTCCGTAAGACATAGTGTTCTCCAACGATTTTTTGGCACCAAATCGTCCCAAACACTCTGCATCTTTCTTATAGTGTCCTGCCCTCATCAGAATCGACAATAGTTTCAGTGTCCGTTTCTAGTGGACATGAAGCAGAATGCAGTGTGGGACAGCCATGGTCGCCCATATGGTTGAAAGCGCAAGCAAGGGTTTGTTTTACGTCTCAACACACTGAATGGCCACTATGCGCCACGGGAAAACCTTGCTTTCTCCCTAATATTTCTTGAAATTCTGGGGGGGGCGGCGCCCCCCCTAGAATATTCTAGGGGGGCGAGTCGCCCCCCCTGCACCCCACTTCCGACGGCCATGACCCCTTCCCCTCCCGGTGCGGTTTTCAATCAGTTTGCCGACGGGTGGAGGAATGGGTCGGCCGAAGGGACTGCGGGGCCCTGAGAGTCTCGCGGCCGCAGGTCATGGAGCCCATCAGCGGCAAGCACGGCCGCGCCGGCCGCGGCGCGCGCTCCGGATCGCCCCGGCCGCCTCCTCGACGGCCACCGCGGTGCCTTCCGTGCCGCCCCCCGCCCTACTCCGAACACCGGCCTGCACACGAGAGCGCCGCGCACGTCACAAAGACGACGACGACGACGGTCTATTTCGGGACGAAGTGGACGTGTCCGTCCAGTCCAGGCCCGTCCCCTGTCGCGCCCTGTCCAGCCGAGAGGCCGCCGGCAGCAACACGAAGGGGCAGGACGGGGAGGCCACGCGACAGGACGGACTCGCGGCGTCCTCCCCCTTTCCGTCCCCCTCCCCCGTCACGTCTATACGACGACAAAAGAGTCCAACGGGAGCCTTGCCGTCGCCTTCTTATTATTAGACCGCCGCGACGTTTCCCTACGGTGGGTCGCGAGTGCTTATATGGAGGGAGAAGGGGGAGGTGGGGGACACGGGTTATTGTTTATTTGTTTTACTAGGTGCGAGGGCGAGTGAAGAGAGGGAAGGGCGGGGAAGGGGACGCGAGCGAGGGCACCACTTGTAGCCGCGCTGTGTACTACACGATAAGGGGGTGCTGCAAGTCCACGCGGCGGCGGTGGCGGCGCGAGGTCGGTCCAGGTCCGCAGCGCTGACGTCAAGACTTAACGGCCGCGCGCCGAAGGTACACGGCACACGGAGCTGGGTGCGACACGCGCGAGCGTCAACCCCGGCGAGAAAGGCGGCCGACCGACCGACCGACCGACCGGGGCTCCGAGACACTAAAAAGTGCTCCGCTGTGCGAGTTTCCCATCGCCGAGTAAAACTGCGGGGGCGGGCAGACCGATTGACACTGACGCGCACTTAGAGAGCGGATCCGTGGCGCGCCCCTCCTCCAGCCAGCACCCGGTGCGGTGGGGCCTAGGTTGGGGTCGAGCGGCGGCGTCAGGTCGGGGGCGTACTCGGCGCTGAGTTCGCCGACCTGAACCGGTCCAGTCCTTCAGTGAGAGCACGAAGCACGAGCAGGGCGACAGAGCACTTTTGCCGAGCGAAATTTAAAGTGAGCCGGAGAAAACGGGTGAGAGGGGAGGGGGGGGGTGAATGAGTAGTAAAGAGGCTATGGAGGGCGTTGTCTGCCTGTCAAGCACCGTCCGTGGGAAGAGGAGGGGGGACGGGGTCGCGAGGAGCTGGAGGGAACCGCGGTGCGGCAACGAACGCGCGAAGCAGGCCTGCCACTCTCCGACCCATTCGACTACTTCATCCCAGCACAGGGACCTACCTCCACCCCAAACTCTGGGACGTTGGCCGCCGAAGCCCCCAAGTCCTGCATACAAACCCGAACTTTTATATTTAGCACGGATATGTGATATTATGCTGCACCATGCTGCACCGCACAACAGGCGCGTGGGTGGGTTGCCTACCCGACCGCAACTACACGAGGTGCCTTTGGTGAGCGACGGCGGTAGTAGGCAACCCCACCCGCATAGCTGTAGTTCAACTTTTTAAAAGTTACAAGGTTTATGGGACACCCTGTATATAACCGCGTATACTATAGCTGTTTCCTTTTCAAACAGTTCAAGCGGTTCAAGGTGTCAGCGTTTTTTGAAAATGATTAAACGTACTACTGTTTTCTTCCCCTTTCGCGCTGTGTGCAGCCCACGGTGACGGGCGCCATGGCACAGTGACATGGAGACCACGCCCTGGTCGGATGTGCGTGGTGGGCTCGCGGACCTTGGCCACCTACCGACCGGGCTGCAGCAGGAGGCGCTGAAGCCGTCCTGGCGCCTGCTGCACTGCGCGGGGTGTTGAAATGCACACTACCGCGACTATCCCGGATAAATAACGTCCCCTCATTGACTCCTTGATTGACGCTATTCGTCCACGCCTAGCATACACACACACACACACACACACACACACACACACACACACCACATGGCGGCACGCTAGCTGCAGCAGCTCGTTGATACATACTTGATGCATAGGAACGACTCCAGACGACACTCACGCGCGCTCGGACACACACACACACACACACACGCGCGCGCGCACATACACACGCGCACATACACGCGCGCACACCGACTGCAATGCGTCCTCTCACGGTTGCCCGTGCTGCTGCTGCTGTAGCGCAGCGGATCGCACTCGCACGCGCGCAGTGCGTGATGTTGTCGCCCCGCCCAAGCGGCCGCAGCGCTGGGACGATTTAAATGTCACCGCGAACATGACAATGCCAACAATTGTGTGTGTGCGCGGGCGCGCGCGAGAGAGAGAGGGCGTGCGTCGTGGTGTCGAGTCGAGTGAATGCCGTTTTGTCTGCTCTGCTACTGTTTCCGCGTGCGATTTGTCATAAACGCGCGACGCGCAGAAAGTGTGTTTCGCGCGAGAACGCCGCCGCCGCCGCCGCGAAGCGAAGGAGGAGGAGGGGAGGCCTTTCTGCGATGGAATAAGGGCAGCGACCGGAGACGGCCGCTCTACTTTCGTGGCCCTGGTGCGCCGCCGCCCCCATCTCGCCCGCGCTATTGTACGCGTTGTCGGTGGCCGTGCCCTGCCCGGCCCGGCGCACCCCCTGCAGGGCACATCCTACAATCGATGCAGGGCGCCGCCGGGCCGGACGCATCCCCAGTTCAGAACCAGGTTACCGCCGCCGCCGCGCGGCTCCCAACGCGTCGGCACTTATTTGTCGGCCGGCCGGCGGAATCATCGCAGTGTGAAATTCCCGTGAATTCATTCGCCGCTGCGCGCCCGTCCCGTTGACTCAGCGCGGCGGACGCGACACTCCGCCGCGAGTCCTGCCCTGCCTTGCCCCTCCGTCCCGCCGTTTCGCGGTGCCGGGCTCCTAATTTTTTGTTCACTGCTTTTCGCGGGATCCCTCCTCCCGCTCCCCGCCGGCCGGTCGGCCGGTGACTCACCTTCGTTTTGTGAGTGTGCGGTCGGGCCGGGCCGCGCGGGTGGGGCCGGTGGGGCAGGCGGGCCCTGGGCTCCCAGGGGCGGGGCGGGTGGGGCGTGGGGCGCAGGGTGACACATTGCGCTGCTGATACCCCATCACGGGGCGGAAATAGATCACTGGGTGGTGGTATCGCCGGGGACAAAAGTGTAACCCACTGGCCTCTTGACGGAATCGTGTCGACCGGGGCGTGTGCCGCCCGTCCGCGCCTTCATGACGCTCGGGCCGAGCCGATGATAGGCGACACGATAACGTCGAGAGCGTCGTCCGTCAAACCGACGACGTGGTGCCTCGCCGTTCGGATACGGCGAAACGTCTCATCCCATCCCAAACCAATAGCAACAGCGCGAGCTCCGGGTCAGCCCGCTGGTCTTCCCCCCCGCGCGGGTCCGGTGTTTACCGCCGGACTACACCCAGTCCCGGGCCGGGCAGCGCGCGACAGGCGCTGATGGTACAGGTACGGGTACCCGCGCGGGGCTTGACGTCAGCGAGAGGACTCTGATCGCGGACCTTTCCGCCGAACGACCGCGCGCGGCCTCACCGTTATCGGGGAGCCCTGCTGGAAATAGTCTCTTCCCTCGCGGCCGCGCCGGCCTGGCCGGGGCCCCGGCTTATCGACAAGGGCGGCGGAGGACGCACGTATCGGCGGCGGCCTCGCAGCGCAGATACGGGGCTCTGTACGCGGCCCAGCCCAACTCGGCCCGGAGACTCTGTCTCGTACGCGCGAGCCCCCGACGCAGCCCTACCCCGCCGCCCGGGGGAGGGGGGGGGGCACGTGAGCGCAGCCCCATCCCCGTACTTGTCCCCGCCCGGCCCTCCTGTCAGTCTCCAGGCACGCCACCCCCCAGCCTGGCACCACATGGGGTTATTCGCTCGACTCCTTGAAAGGGGACGTCACGTCCTCGGCTGACCCGCGGCGAGGCGGAGGCGAGGCAGGCCGCCCGCCTCGAGGGACACTATATTTATGCCGTCGTCAAGCGGGATGACACCTCGGACAGAGGGCGGCGAGGCCCAGCAGCAGGTTCCCGTATGCGTGGCGGTCGCGTGAAATAATTCGCCTCGTGCTGCGCCGCGGACCTCTCATTGTGTGTCCAGCGCAGTGCCGCAGGGAGAGGCTTGTTGCAGCCCACGTGTCCGCGGGCCGCGTGACGCCGGCGGGGCACGGGGGGTGAGTCCCGGAGGACTCGGCGCCCCGCGGCCGGCGGCGCGGCGTGTTGCGGGCGCCCCCGCCGGAGCGCTCGCGCAGCCCGCGCAGCCCGCGCCCTGGGACGGAGCGCCCCGCCCGGCCCGATCGAAGCCCCGCCGGAGTGAGTGCGACAGAGACGTAGGCGAGCCCCTCCCCCCTCCCCCGCCCTGCGCCGCTCGCCGGCTGAGCTTATAAAAGCGCCGCCGGTCGCGGCCGGCGAGCAGAACCGTTCCGACCGTCATACCGTCGCCACGCTCCGCCCCGCGGCGTCAGTAGTGTCTCGTGTGAACGCGCGTTTGGTCCATGCTCGTTTGTGAGCACCCGAGCACCAGCACCAGTAGCAGTAGCCGGCACCAGGACTACGCGTACCAGGCGGTCGCCCCGCCGTCGCAAGCACCGCACCAGCAGCAACAGCAGCAGCAGCAGCAGCAGCTGGACTTGGCGCTCGAAGGCCGGTCCATCCTCCTGCAGCAGCGCGCCCCCTCGCACCCGTGCACGCCGCACCCGTGCTCGCCCGCGCCCGCGCACCCGCCGCAGCGCGCGTCGCCCGCCGACAACAAGACCTTCAGCCCGCTGCAACTGCAGCTCAGGATCGACCTGCACAGCGAGCAGGGCGTCGACGTCCCCGGCAGGCTCTGCAAGGACGCCCCACCTGCACCGTCCGCGGCGCCCCTCACCCGGCGACAGCGCGCCCAGCTGCGGCGCCGCCAGGAGCAGCAGAAGCCCACCGACGAGGTGGTGTACCAGCGGCGCACGCCCAGCCGGCCCCGCACGCCCGCCACCTGCCCGCGCACCCCGCTCGCCATGAGCACCATGAGCATGCCCGCCGCCGGACAGAAGTTCGCCACCGACGACGCGGCCGCCAACGTGTTCGGCTCGGCCGAGGAGACTTCGGCGGCCGTTAAGCGGCTGCTGGCCAAGAGCGGCACCAACGTCATGGAGGAGCACCGCGTCATCAGCAGCACCAGCTCCAAGACCACCTCGGCCAGCTCCACCATGGACTACCTGCAGGACTCGTTCGACTTCCTGCACCAGCGCCACATGAAAAATCTGTCTGCGGTGATCAGCCGCCACCAGCAACAGCAGCAACAGCAGGCACCCGGCCAGGAAGAGCAGCTGAGTGGGCAGAGCCAGACGCAGACGAGCAGCCAGCGACTCAAGAAGCAGGTGCACATACACCAGAGCGCCTTCTATGACGGCCAGAGTGGGCTCGGCCTCAGCGACGTCAACAACATGCAGCAGCCCAGCACATTCAAGTCTACCAAGACCATCAACCTGAGCAACAACAACAGCAGCAACAGCAGCACCAGCGACCTGGAGGACGCCAAGATGCTCCAGCAGCAGCAGATCCAGCAGCAGCAGCAACAGAGGCGCTGCGTGCGTGAGAACTCGACATCGAGCCTGCAGTCGCAGTCCTCCGTGTCCAGCTCGCACTCCAACAGCTTCGACAACTTCAACAACAACTTCTGCGACGCCATGTCCCTCTCCAACAAGTCCAACACGACCAAGCAGGTGTCGTCCAAGTCGTCCACCACTTCATCGACGTCGTCGTCGTCCTCCACCAGCGTGCAGCAGTCGTTCAGCAGCAGCAAGAAGCAGATCATTAAGCAGTCCTTCTCCTCCAGCTCGGTCGACTTCGATGACCGCATGGGGATTGACGTGATGCTCACGCCCTCCGGGATGACCTCCACCCCCGGTACCCCGACGGGCGTCGTGGCGCTATCCTCGCCCAACCTGGACCTCGCCGCTTCCAACACCAAGTCCAAGGTGAAGCAGACCACCAAGGTGACATCCTCGGTCATGTCCTCGTCGTCCAGCTCCGGCACCGACCAGCCCGAGGAGTGCAAGCAGAGCGTCAAGACGTTCAAGGCCAAGACGGTGAAGAAGTCGGTATCGGACGGGCGTCAGGTGCACACTGATGTGAACAAGCACACCGAGACGGCCGAGGAGGAGGCCGAGGGATCCCTGGACAAGCCCGTCATCACGTTCAGCCACGTGTCGAGCGAGGGCAGCCACCAGAGCTTCACCGACGACATCGTGCGCTTCGACTCGTCCGCCCTGTCCTCGCCCAGCCGGTCGCGCAGCCCCAGCCCCATGCTGGAGATGCCCGCGCCCTACAACGACCTCTCCAAGGAGATCAAGAGGCCCCCCATGGAGAAGGCGTGAGCGGTGCCGAGCGGCGCCTTGACCCCTGAAGGCCAAAGACTGCAACATCATCTCTGATTAGTGTTATCTTATGTTCGCCTCATCTTAATTGTGATTCATACGTTCCCATCCTTTATTAATTTATTGTTTATTTTGTGCTGTGCGGTTAAGTTGGACTGAAATTTGCCGCGTGCGACGTGGTCGTGATTCTCGATGGATTTGCTGTGATCTGATTTTTTTTAAAGGCCTTGCGGCGCACGTGATTGACTGTGCGTGTGTGTGTCTTTTATTAGCATTTCTTGCTTAGTCTAACTTATTTAAACATAGACACTTGCACCTTTTTAGTGTTTTAGGGGTATATACCGACAGAATTTCAATTTTCTGAAACGGAATGGCGATTAACGCAGTCGCTGCAAGAATTGTATTATATTATTCGAGTGCCAATACCTTCAAGTGAAATAAGTCAGGATTATGAAATATAGCAATGATGTCATTAGTCGTTATGCGAATCTCTTTACATATATCTTTAGATTTCCACTAAATTTTATTCTCTGTTTCCTTTCTCACGGTTGGTTGAAAGAGGCGTTTTATAGGACATCGGAAGGCTGCATGAGGGCAGTCGATGAGAGTGCAAACGGGAAGTCGGGAACTTTGCTCTTGTTGCTATGCAACTTGCTTGACAAATCGCTTAATTTACCCAAATTTACGATATCCGAGCCGAGTCACGCTGAGTCACAGAGTACTGACGTGTCCGCGGTGCGTCCGGGCCTGAGTCAGCGGCTGGATGTGAAGGCGTGTGAGTGTATGGTTGTGTGATAGATTGGGTACAGAGTGTACACACAGTGAGCGTTATTCCGATTGGCCGCATGCTCATTGTATGCGATATCGTCCTGAATGCGAGCGCCCCCTCAAAACTAAATGGAGACCTTCGCTGTAGTAATCCCCGTTTTGCTTGTTTCCAGCTGCATGTTGTTACTTAAGAAATACGATTTTTATCGAGTTATTGTAAAGTGTTGACTTTGTGTTTTATAATAAAATTTAAAAAAAATACTATCCTAAAAAAAAATTCTTTTGATGGTTGTCATTGTGTCTACCTCCTTTTTCCTCAGAAAAGTAGAAAATAGTACATTCACGACATTACAGCTACCATTCTCAACAGAAAGCGGACAGGAGACACTCTTTCCTCTTCTTTCAATTGAGTTTTCGCCGCCGGGGAAATGCCATATGCCGCCACAAATCTCTGCGGGAAGATGCTTATAAATAGATTTGGCAGAGGACTGGGTCGTCGGGAGGCTCGGAGGACAGGCTCGCTGCCACCGCTTTGTTTAAACTTCGGGGCGAATTATGTCGGAGGGAAGGCTCTGGCGGATTGTCCTCTAGAATAAATACCACTCTTCCCTCTTTTCTCTCCGATGGAAATTAGAAAGGGGTGTTGAGGGAGAGGGGGGAGGGGTGTTAGTGGGTACATCACACCGGGCCAGGGGGTAAGGAACGGGGTGGGCACCTAGGGTGGGCTTCGGCCGGCCGAGGCCGTGGCCTCTGCAGATAATACCGATGATCCACGGCAAGTTGTTGTGCCAATAATGCCATTAAGCCGCATTAAGACGTATGGGATGGGGTTTCCCAAGAGCCTCAGCAGCCAAGAGGGAGCTAGAGAGGGGGAGAAGGAAAAAGTGGGAGCGAGACAGGAGAGAGAGCCAAAGAAAAGGGGACGTGGTGAGACAGAGAGCGAGAGAGGGGGAGGGAGGGGGACGACTTCGTTAGACGAAACATCTGCTAGGGGTGCGAACGCATTTTCGAACGCGGCCACTCCGCGAAGTGCTCGGACGCAGCCAGCCGGCAGATGAGAAATATTCCTTGGACACGTCTAACCCCCCCCCCCCTCCTCTCCCTGGCCAGAGGCCAGCCCCTAAACATACAAGTGTGTGTAGGATGTCATATCGCACCGCAAACGCGAGGTGGAGAGGAAGGGGAGATAGGGAAGAGGGGGGGGGCTAATCGATCCAAAACTTAATGGTCCGCAAAGTGGCATTGTCGCTATTTTCGAAGGAGTTACTGCAGTGGGTAGCTTTTGCAGTCCCGCCCGCAACCACGACCACTGCGGAAGCCGCCAGCCCACCCGTCAGCTCACCAAAGAGAGGCTTCTCTTTTTAAGTAAAAGGGAAACACACAAAAAAAAGTCAGTTACTAGTAAGACCTGCCCACACAAAAAGATGTATAATCCTGAACTAACGTGTTTCCACGATTTATGGTACATACAGTATTGTGGTGATCATACGCAGTTTTATCTGTACGATTGCTTTATCTCGCTCTTAATTTTTGACAGTGGCGCGCATTTGGCAGTCGACGAAGCAAAGCCTCTCGATGCGCCTCGTTTCCGCGGGGGTGGGGATGGGGGGGGGACCTCGCCGCTTCCAACACCAAGTCCAAGGTGAA